CCCCCCCCCCCCCAGGATGACCCTCTGGGCCGTGGGTGACTAGGTCCCTTTGCCCAGAGGCAAGCAGAGTGATGAGTATGTGGCCGCAAGAGACACTTACTGTCTGTTGCATCTAATAGTAATCCTTTTTTTAATGGGCTCGTATGTACAGGATTTGGTTTGGTTTGGTTTTGATTTTTCTATTTTCTATTCCTTCTTTTTTTTTGCATTTCACAAAAGTATTAGTGTACCATAACTCAGAGGGAAAAAGCTGATAGTTTGAGAAGCACCACCCTCCCTGGTAGAAGGTGAGGACGGTGGCCCCATGTGCAGACCTTCCCCGAGGAGCTGATTATTCCAGCCCACGGGGCTCCAGGACAACCTCAGCGGAGTAGACTGTGGACTCTCTGGCCCTCTCCTCAGTCCTCTCCAAGGAGTTCCCCTTCTCGGCCACGTCCGGTTCCTCAGCCAGGTTCCACTTCGCCTGCCCCACTTCCCTCCCCTGTCTCAGGTTGATTCGCTGAGAGGGGACCATTCGGTGCTCCCTGTGTGAGGCCTGGCTGTGGGTTTGGACCAGGTTCCGTGTCCCGCCCTTGACCGTGACCATCACCTCTGTGCTTCTCTCCCATTCCGTGTCTCGTAGTTGGCTGCCGACCCGGACCCCAATGTGAAAAGCGGATCTGAGCTCCTGGACCGCCTTTTAAAGGTATTTGTGCTTCGTTCCCACTTTCAGTTTTAGAATCTATTTTTTCCATTTCTTTTAGAAATACTCTCATTGCAGGTAGTCTTCCTCATTTTTTTAAAAAAAAATTTCAATTTACATAAAGTAAGATTTACTCTCTGGTGTGCAGTTCTAGGACAGATACACCCAGCTGTGTCTCCACTGCAGTCCGAGTACAGAACCGTGCCACCCCCTTAAACGTGGCCTTGTGCCCCACCTCCCACCACAGCGCAGTGTCGGTCCACAGCACAGAGAGCAGGTCACCATTTGGTTAGTTAGTTCTCTCGACTGGATTCTGCCTTCAGTTTGTTTGTCCCTCGGCCCATGACAGAGAAGATGCTCCCAGGACCTCCCTGCTGAGCTGGGACCCTGCCACTGTGGCCCTGGCTCTGGCACTCGGTGGCTCACGTTCCTTTGCTCCACAGGACATCGTGACTGAGAGCAACAAGTTTGACCTGGTGGGCTTCATCCCCTTGTTGCGGGAGAGGATCTACTCCAACAACCAGTATGCCCGGCAGTTCATCATCTCCTGGGTAAGGACCCGCCCCGGCCTCCAGCTTAGGGAGCCCCTGGCTGTGTCAAACCTGCTCTTGCTGCGCCCTTGGCAGCACCTTTGACGACCGAGAAGCCTCGTTATCCATCCAGTAGCCATTGACACCTGCTAATCAGATGTGTCTAATGAGCTTTGCCCTGAAAGCTCCTCATGTTTGCCCCTGAGGAGATGCAGGTCTGTCCTTGTCCCAGGAAGTGCCAGTCTCTCTGTGGAACTAAGAGTGCAGTACATCCGACTTATCTTAGCTGTTCTTCTCATCCGTTCCCTTCTCCTCTGGGCATCTGAGTCTTACTGGGGGTCATATGACCATTCTCAGGCATGTGTAACCAGACAGGAGATCTGCTCCCACCACGGGACACCTGCAGTGCCATGATGCGTCTCCACCGGGTCCCCCCGCTACCGCCCAGGTCCTGTGGGTTGGGGATGAGGAGACGAGTCTCACGCTGGTGTAAAACTTTCCTCCTGTCTTCTCCCCCTGGGTCAGATCCTGGTTCTGGAGTCTGGTCCGGACATTAACCTGCTAGATTACCTGCCGGAGATCCTGGATGGACTCTTCCAGATCCTGGGTGACAACGGCAAAGAGATTCGGAAAATGTGAGTGGAGGGCCAGGCAGCTGCTCTGGTGGGACCCCTCCGTGGATGTGTACCCCAGTCCCCACAGAGAGGCAGCGCACGGGAGAGGAAACTCACTCCTTTCTCCCGGCTCCCGTGCGTCTCTGTGAGGAGCTAAGGGCCCTCACCTGAGGCTGAGCATGTCATCTCCGTCGGGGCGGCTGACCAGAGCAGACACAGGTGCAGCATGAGGCTCCTCCAGCCCTGGGTGACTGCTGTTTCCATCCTCCTCGTTGCTAGGTGTGAGGTGGTTCTTGGAGAGTTCTTGAAAGAGATTAAGAAGAACCCCTCCAGCGTTAAGTTTGCTGAGATGGCCAACATTCTGGTGATCCACTGCCAGACCACAGGTAAGTGTGTGTGAGGCCTCCACCACCACTCTCAGTGGGGGCCACAAGAGAGCCTGGGAGCAGTGGCTACCAGAGTGATGCTGGACCCTGAGAGCATGGAGTCGTGGGTCTTCGTGAGCGAGAGAGCCGGGTCTTCTGTCAATATGGAGGCCCTTTTGTTTGATCTGGCCTGGAGCAGAGTAAGATCTGGACCCTCTCACTGGCAAGCATGGCCTTAACTCTGGGAGCTAAAACACTGCCAGGGTGGGATTGTGTGTCAAAGGTTTACGTACCCAGCAGTCACCTGTCTGTCATACTCTGAGGTCAGTTGGGTGGCCTACTCGCTGAGCCCGGTTTGGCCGAGCTTGGTCATGTGCTTATAGTCACCCAGAGGGTTGGCTGAGGCTGAGTGATCTGTGATGGCCTCTCTCACGTCCGGAGGTTGGTGGCTGTCAGCTGGGGCAGGGAGCAGTTGGTCCACATCTCGTCCTCCAGCGGGCTGGGCTGAGCACGTTCACCTGGCATCTGCGGCTTCCAGGAGAGGGTAGGAGTGTGCAGAAGGCCCCTGAGGCCAAGGCTCGAGCCAGGCACACTGTCACTTCTGCCACATTCCATTGGCCAAAGTAGCCAGGCCAGCCCAGATTCAAGGGGCAGGAGAACCGACTCCCCTCCTTGAGAGGAGGAGACAGAGTCACGTTCTGGAGGGCATAGGTGCATGGGGTGGGAAACTCGGCTTCCTCAGCTCTCCAGCCCCATCCTGCAGGTGCAGTCAGGGAGAGCCACTCTGGCTGCTCATGCTGACTCCGGTGGGACCCCCCCTGCTTCCCTTCCAGACGACCTGATCCAGCTCACGGCCATGTGCTGGATGCGGGAGTTCATCCAACTCGCTGGCCGGGTGATGCTGCCCTACTCCTCCGGGATCCTGACCGCTGTCTTGCCTTGCCTGGCCTATGACGACCGCAAGAAAAGTATCCTTCACGCTGGGAGGGGAGACCTCTAGACATCCGGCTGTGAAGTGGAGGGACCGAGTGAGAATGGGGGCCCCCTGATCCCTAACACTTCCAAACAGTCCCTAGTCTAGGAATAAGGAGGAGCCAAACACAGATTAGGAAAGCCAGGCTCATGAGCTCCTGCTGCTTGTGCCCCATCGCCCGTTACTTGCAGGTCAGAGCAGCTCTCCCAGGCCCCGGGGCTCCTCTGATTCATACCACTGCGCCATGGGTGGGGGAAATCCTGTTGGCACGAAGACCACCAGAAAGGGCCTTACAAGGAGGGCACCAGTATGGCAAGGAGAGAGGCATTCAGCTCAGAGTGCCCGTCTGCCTGGGTTGGTAACAGCTCCTAGGGAGACTGAGCTGTACCAACCTTGGGTATAGAGAAGACTGCCCCTGGGGGCTGCTCCTTACATCAGGGAGCTCAGGCATCAAGGAGGTGGCCAATGTGTGCAACCAGAGCCTGATGAAGCTGGTCACCCCCGAGGACGACGAGCCAGACGAGCCGAAGCCCACAGCACAGAGGCAGGCAGAGCCCAACCCTGAGGATGCCCAGGCAAAGCAAGAGGAGACAGCCAGTGGTGAGTAGGCTCTGCCCTCCACCCCTCACCTCCCATGGAGGGAGTCAGGGAGCCAGAGGTTATAGATCTTGGCTCGGGACCTGACTTAACTGACTGGGGCTGCTGTACATGCTAGAACCTGTGAGGTAGGAGCTCCCCCCATCTCCGTTCTGCATAGGGACACTGAAGCCTCTAACCAGATCTGGCAGCTCATTACTGGCAGGTTTGTGGTTCGAACCCAGACTGCCTACGCTGTGCTGGCAGAGCTACGTTCCCAGTGCTCTTAACACTTTCTGCCTCAAACTGCCAGCTCTGTCCCTGATCCTTTTCTGGATTCAGCTGCAGTAAATAGTTGTTTCCCGGTAGGATGGCTTGGGGCGGGAGTTCCAGGCTGCGCCGGCTTGATCCTTGCCCCTAGACATCCGGCCACCAGCTGCCTGTACGAGCAGGTCTGCCTTCTCAGGGAGGGCGGGCTGAGGAAACGCCTGTATTCAGCACCTGGGAATTCAGTGCCTTTGAAATGCAAAGTGGCTCTGTTCTCATTTCACCCTGAACCTTATTTTCTTGTATACTCGTAACATTAAAACCATTAAAAACATTGGGGCCCAGAGCTGGTGTTATCTAGGACTTTGCCTATCTCTTGAGCCTCTGTCCCCTCCGAGAGGTCACTAGTCAGCTTTGGTGATGGCCTAATAGCGGTCTTTGAAGAGAATGAAGGAATGCAGGGCCGCCTCAGATCTTTAAGGATAACAGCATGAGATCTGGGAAGGTGCCCCGGAGGTGAAAGAATCACCGAAGCATTCTCTCCCATTGCAATTCAGGACTTCTCTTGCCCGAGTAGATTGTCTGAGTAGAAGGGCGAGCACCCCGTGCCCTATGGGCCTCCTCCTGTGGGTTCGGCTGATAGAATCCAGCAGTTTCCATGCTGCACCATCTCAGGTGTCAGGTTACAGCTGTGCAAGCGTCACTGTGAGCCACAGCAACAAAACAGCTGGAGGCAGTGCTGTATTCAGCTGGAGCATTGGTGGTTCAGTGGTAGAATTCTCGCCTGCCACGCGGGAGGCCCGGGTTCGATTCCCGGCCAATGCAGCAGCTGAAAACCTTTTTGGTAACTCCTGAAAAAAGAAAACTTAGGGAGATAAGATGGTGCAGGCCTTCCAAGGAAGAGCTTTCTTATTGGGAAGAATCTAGAATCTCAGGGATAGGCATGTTTTGTGAACTTCCATTAATGTGTGAGGGTTTTTTTAATTTTTTCTGATTCTCTTTTAGAGAATATGGAAAGTAGGAGAAATATTTGATAGATGGAAAAATGTGAAGTTCTCCGTTGAATTAAATAAAATAAAAAATTATATTAAAAAAAAAGTGAGCCTCAGGACCAGGCAGTGGTGCAGTGATAGCACAACTAGGACCAGACAGGGAAGGTCCTGGGTTTGAGCCCCAGGACCTGAGTACACAAAGCACACACCTGCATGGCCTGCAAAGACCCTGTTGAGGGCGCTTGTCTCTCACTTTTCTTTCATGGAAAAAATAAATTAATTAACCTTTTTTCTTTTTTAATGGGACTCATTGGGACCAGCAGATGGTGTAATGGTTACACTGTTGTACTCCCATGTGGTCGACCACAATTCAAGTTCCAAACCCAGAGGTTTAAAACTCACGCCGGACCTCTGTGTGTGTGTGTGTCCAAAGTCCTGAGAGGAGAATGGAGGAGAAGGGATTACGGCATGGTCGTTCCTCCCCACCCCCGCGGGGGGGGGGGGGGCAGATTTCTCACTTTCTGTCTGTCTCTGTCCCTGTGGCAAACACATGCGCCCTATAGCAAAAGTCTCTCTCTACAAAAGAAAAAAAGGGGAGGGTGTGTGAGAGCTCATTAAATAAGTCTTGCTTCTTGCTTTTAATTCTTTACTTCCCTGTACCCCTCTTTCATCCACCTTGTAAACTTGTAGTGATGATAATAAAACCAATTTGAGAAAGGGTTAAAAAAAATGGAGAAAAATACAAAGAAGCAAGACTATTCCCATTGAAAGATAGCATTAAAATTTTAACATTTAAAATAATTTTAAATATGTGCCTCTGTGTGTGTGCGTGTGTGTAATATTAAGGTACAACTTCAGTACTTATTTGCTCTTTGGGTTTAATAGTGAATGTTTTTATTTTGCTTTGCTTTGTTTTTGATTTGACATGAAAGTTAATGTCTCTCATCTGCTGAGTCAGGTTTCTACTTTCTGGTTGCCTGAGTAGGGGGACGGGGCACTGGGACCAGTGCTGACAGACCCTGGTCTCTTTGGCGTGATGGGGAAATGGTCTGGAATTAAATAGTGATAATGGTTGCACGACTCTGACTGCACTAAACATCACCCAGTTGTACACTTTAAATTGGTGACTTGTAAGTGAAGTTTTATGTTACCTGAATTCCATCTCAATTTTTTTAAAAAAGTTAGCCCCTCCTCCCTGCAGTGGAACTGGCCGTCTCTGCCCTGCCTTTGCTGCGGCTGTGGCAGCAAGTTGAGTCCTCTGGGAAGGAACTGCTGCACTCTGTGGGTCATAGCAGCAGCTGAAAACCTCCCTAGAAGCTGAAGCATTGGTGGTTCAGTGGTAGAATTCTCGCCTGCCACGCGGGAGGCCCGGGTTCGATTCCCGGCCAATGTATCTTATTTATTTCCCTTTTGGATTTTTTTTTTTAAAGCATTCTTCACACAGCTGCCTGGTCAGGAGAGTGCTGTCTTAAACCAGGACACATTCAGGCAGCTTGACTCTGGGTTTTACTGCCTCGTAAACAGCATTTCACCAGGTGAAAGCATGCTTTATAGACATGGCAGCAGCCAATTTGGGGCTTCACATCCTCTCTTGGCCCTGTTCGGCTTGTTAGGAATCTAAGTGACCGGGAGCAGGTCCCTGCAAGCCACGAGATGGATGATTTAGGTAGTGGGTGACGAATTCCTCCCAGCCATTCCTGCATGTTCTGCTGGTCTGGTCCTTCCCCTGGCTGATCACGGGGCCCCCTTGCTGCCCACTCTTCTGCAGGCTCCCCCCAGCCCAGTCTGTGCCAATGAGCCACAGCTCCACGTTCTTCATGGCATGCCTCCCGGTAAGACCCCCTGTGCACACTCATGCACACACTTGCACATGCACATCCCACCTCTGGAACTTCCTCCCCTGACCACAGAGCCTTTAGATGGGTAGCCCTCTGCTGCCTCGGTGGCAGGACGGGGCCCTGGGGCCAACTGCTGACCGTTGCCCTTACTGTGGCTCCCGTTGGCCCAGCCACCTGGGGAGAGCCACAGCACAGAGCCCTTCCTCTGAGTCTGAGTTCTACAGCACTTCACGGGGCCAGCCTTCCCTCCATGACATCCCCTGAACATCTCAGGTGTCATCACGAAGACTCTGGGCCTGAACATCCAGCCGTGAGTCCTGGCTCAGCTGGCTTCACCCCTGCCGCCCTTGGGCAGCCGGGCAGCCTTTCTGAGGCCCCAGTTCCTTACCTGTCAAACAGGGCGGCGATAGCACACCACCTACAGTGTGCGTGTGACTTTCTGGTGAGACAGGCGCGTGCTGTACGTGGTGGTACCCTAGTTGAGGTTGTGTGATTCACAATTAGAATGTGGTCACCGGAATAGGAGCCCTCGGGGGCAGAGCGTTTGCTCCCCATTTCTTTCTTTTTTTTTTTTTTTTTTTTAAGAGAAATTTTTGCTATAGGCCACATGCACTCTCCAGAGAGACAGAAAGTAAGAAATCACCCTCCCAGGGGGGATGGCCACACCACAGTCCCTTCCCTTCCATTCTCCTCTTGGGATTTTGGGTACTCACACGCGCCTAGCCTGAGTTTGAAGCCACCAGGTCCAGGACTCAAACTGCGGTCAGCCACGTGGGAGTCCAGTGACATAGCCACTACACCATCTGTTGGTCCCTTGCTCCCTATTTTTCACCATCAGCCTCGCCTAGGTGGTTGCGGGCCTGTGGTGGGCTCCGTCGGAGATAGCATAGGGGTCAGCAATGGCAGTTTGTGCGTGTGGCATGTGATGAGCAGAGCTGTAAATGGGATTTCCGGCGCGGTTGGGGGCATGGAACTGCCTCGCGGTGCATGTGACTGGATTCGTCATTCGCAGGGCTGTGACTGCTGAGCTCCTCAACCTCTCCTGTGCGCACTCCAGGCGTGGTGAGTCAGACCCGGGGGTGCCTGTAAGGAGCTCTGGGACAGCTCTGCAGATGAGACACAGTGTCACTGGGTGCAGTTCAAGGACTGTGCGGAGGACTGGGGGCCCAGAGAAGAGGGCATTAGCTCAGCTGTGGGTGGGGCCAGGCTCAGCTTTCTGGAGGCTACTTGAGCTGGATCTCTTCTTCCTTTCTGGCGTCCACTCTCCTTGCCTCCATCTTTCCATTCCAACTGTAAAGGAAATGCGTGTTTCCTGGAGGGATACTGGGAAGGGCAGAGCTCCGAGGAAACCTGGGCTATGCTCTCACCCAGAGGTAGTCACTGAAACTTCAGGTGTTATTTATTTTCAGTCTTTTTTTTAATGCCTGTATTTATTCATTTTAACACATATGTTTCGTGCATTTGTGGCTTTTGTGTTTTGTTTTTCTACAAATAATAGGATGATAAGGATATTGGGTGATTTACAACCTGAATTTTATTTTATTTTTTTAAGTTTGCTGCAGGGCATGTGCACTCATCAGAGAGAGGAAAGGTGAGAACTCACCCCCAGAGGGGATGACCACATCTCAGTCCTTTCTCCTCCATTCTTTTCTCGGGGTTTTGGGTCCCCACACACATGCCCGGCATGTTTTTCAAGCTGCCGGGTCCAGGACTTGAACTGTGCAGTCGGCCCTGTGGGATCCAGCTACCCCAACTGCTATGCCACCTGCTGGCCCTGATATTTTTTAATTGAGTAGGTAATGGACAGTATTTTCCGGTTAGTCAGCATTATCCTCCATTAATTTCTTTTGAGCATTCAGCATTATTTAAATGTGTAGCGGAGAACCCCAACCCCTCTAGCAGACGCTCCTCGTTCCCCTCCCCCAGT